TACGTCGGATCTCCATTATGGAATTTAGCACACAGCACGCTTCTAGGATAGCCTGAGCTTCTGTCTTCTTTTGCCTTGGCAAGAAGGAATCGTTCTCTAGATATACAAGGAAAACAGCAAGGGATTTTCCAAAACCACAAAATGATTGTTCTCGTATATTGCTGCAGCAAACAGAACTCACTCTCTTCATAGCTTATGTTTCTTAGTAAACACAGGGCTTGCTGCAATGAGGATCATTTGAAAGGCAAAATCTTGTGATTTAAGATCTTATCCAGGGTATTCACAGGACACAGTCTGACATTTGTTCTGTTTTTCATGACAATAAATCACCAGCAAGAATGTTTCTACTGCAAAAAAAAAAAAAGTATGCCCTCAATCAGATGCTGGCTGCCCTTAAAGGTGGCTAAAAGAAATACTTCCCTGCATATTTGTGTAAAAATTTGTGATTGTCTTGCATGGACACACGTATATGATACATATAATTATTTTTCCCTCTCCGTATATCTACCTTTCTTAAAAACCTTGCAAAAACTCTTTTCAGAGCCTGAGATCTGAATTTTTTTTAGAAGCAGCACCAAGTGCCAGGGGAAGATGTGACCAGGATTTACACTGCACCCACCCAAATCTGCAATCTGCTGCACGCAGGCCAAATTCCCATTAGCACTTGAGGTGCAGCCAGTGATACAATCCTTGTTTCCTTTTCCACTCTTTCTTCTAGCTGATTCACAGCTTTTGTTATCCCCACACTGCTGCTCAGTTTAAGGATTTTGGCCAAACTGCAGCAATAACTCTCTCTGCTGGTATGTGAAGGAGAAGTTGCTCCTGCTACAGAATAAGTTTCTTGATGGCATTAGTTGTAAGTGGGAGGGGCTAGAAAATCACTCTTGGATAGCACATGCTGGATGCCTACAGCACCTAGGGAAGGAGGTATTGACTCCTATTATAATCTCGGGTCTCCCTTGTTTTCTTATCATAGAATCACAGACAAGTTTGGGTTGGAAGGGACTCATAAAGGCCATCTAGTCCAACTCCCTGCAAAATACAGGGACACCTACAGTGAGATCAGGCTGCTCAGAGCCCCCTTCAGCCTGACCTTGGATGTGTTCAGAGATGGGGCACCCACCATCTCTCTGGGCAAGCTGTTCCAGTGCCTCACCACCCTTATTGTAAAATACTCCTTCATTATATCCAATCTAATTCTCCCCTCTGTTAGTTCGGAGCCATTTCCCTTTGTTCTATCACAACTAACCCTGCTAAAGATTCTGGCCCCTTCTTTCTTATAGCCTCTCTTTAGATACTGCAAGGTTGCTATCAGGTCACCTCACAGCCTTCTCCTCTCCAGGCTGAACAGCCCCAGCTCTCTCAACCTGTCCTCCTAGGAGAGCTGTTCCATTCCATGGATCGTTTCTGTGGCCCTCCTCTGGACACACTCCAACAGATCCACGTCTCTCCTGCACTGAGGACTCCGCATCTGGATGCAGTACTGCACGTGAGGCCTCACCATCACAGAGCAGAGGGGCAGGAGCACCTCCCTCGCTGTGGTGGCCACACTTCTTTTGGTGCAGCCCAGGACATGGTTGGCTTTCTGGGCTGTGAGGGCACATTTCTGACTCATGCCCAGCTTTCCATCCACCCAGGTCCTTTTCATCAGGGCTGTGCTGATAACAGAAACAGGAGTTTCTGTGACCCAGATGTAGGACCTTGCACTTGGCTTTTTTGAACTTCATTAAGTTCTCCTGGGTTCACCACTTGAGCATGTCTGGGTCTGCCTGTATGGCATCCCTTCCCTTGGGCATGTCGACCACACTGCACAGCTGGGTGTCATCTGAAAACTTGCTACGGGTGCACTTGATCCCACTTGCCATGTCATTGATGAAGATATGAAAGAACATCAGTCCCAGTACCAACCCCTGAGGGACGCCACGCATCGCTTATTCTCAAATCCAGTCTGGATGGAAAGAAAAATGCCTGGGCTCTGCTTATCTGCAATTAGGGAGGGAGCAAGCATAATGCAGGTATGTTTGCATGTGGTTGAGCTTTCCACTCTGCCCCTCAAATTGCTCTTAATTCAACCGTGAGTGTTTTGCAACCGGGCTCTTGTTGGATGATGCTGCAGCTGGACAGAATACAAATACAGCCACCATGGTCACAGTATCGTAGAATCATAGGACCATAGGATCGTAGTATCATAGAGTGGTTTGGGTTGGAAGGGACCTTTAAGATCATCTAGCTCCAACCCCCTACCATAGGCAGGGTCACCTCTCACTAGACCAGGTTGCTCAAAGCTCCATCCGCTGGCCTTGAATGCTTCCAGGAGGAAGGCATCCACATGATGTTGGCGTGCTTTCGCATGTATCACACAATTGTTATTATAATGGCCAATAAGTAGCTGCAGACAAATGAGGTGACTCAATGCCACACTTTAATGAGCTTAACTGCATACCCAGTGGTAGGCAAAAGGTAAAACAACAGCACCAGGCAGGTAATTGTTGGACCTGTTGCAAGCAATTTGCAAGCGCAGGCATCTCAGTTTTGCAGTCTTGCTCATCTTAATTTCCTTTGAGCACCTCATCGTCTGGCACTGTGAGCTGGCTTCGTTTTGGAAATGTTCAGCTTTTGTTCAGCTCTCTGGCTGCACTTGCACAGGCGTCGATAAATGTTTAACTCCATGCATAGGTGGAGCCTGAAGCAAATGGGACAAATCTTCCATAGACTGATAAACATTTTTTTCTTTCCTTTTTTTTTTTTTGGCAGTGATACTAATTGGAGTAAAGAGGGATGTGTTTGCCCAGTGGCACTACTCTTACTGCACACTCTGTAAGGGCCTGGCACGATCCCTTGGGCTGCAGACAGAGTTTATAGGCTGCCATTGCCTGCAGGTAGGGATCTCTGTAAACAAGGAAGAGAGCACCTCCGTGTTGATGTAAGTTTCTTTTTCATTTGTCATCCAAAGAGAAGGAAGAAAAGGTGGATTTCTGTGGAACCAGCTGGTTGATCACTGGGTTTGTGAGTGGCCCCAAAGCTTGCTGCCCCCGCTCTCTCCCTCTAGCTGTTGTCCTCATCCATCTCCAGCCCAGGTGGGAGGAGTGGGCAGAAGACACACCAGGCTGGTGAGCTGCATTCCAAGCATAGCCCCAGTGTACAGGAGTGGAGAAGAATGAGGTGGAAACCAGGTGCCACTAGCATGAGGTATTGGGACTGCCAGTAGCCACAGAGCAGCCGTACTGGCAGGAATGGTGGATAAATATGCTGAAATGGGAGATTTTTGGCGGCTTTCCTTTTGGTGGGAGAGACGCCCAGTGCTTTTATGTTTGACTTCTTTTCCCTGAAGCATCAGCTGCCTGTGGGTGGATGATGCAATTAACAGCAATGGCAAAAGGATGAGGGCAGGTGCCCCTAGCAAGGAAGGCAGAGGACGTTGTGCAGAAGTTAGCTATTTGTGCATTGGCAGCGATGCAGAAGTCAGTTATTTGCAGGCTGGCGGCTATACTCTGACCTTGGATACCTGGAGACCTGGCTAACAAAGTCCGAGCTGCAAGCAGTCATCTGTAAGACGTGATGGAGGACAAGTAAAGCTGCCTTTAGCTGTAGTCCTGCCTGAAGGAGGAAAGGAGGCCATTGCAACATGCCAAAGAGAGGAACAGAATTGCCCTGCTCTGCCTGTGAGGCAGTGAGGAAGTTTCAGGCTAGTCACTGAGGGAAAATCTAACATGTACAGCCAGTTGGGGCAGCAGGGTGAGGCACAGCCAGTCTGGAAGGTGGTGGAGCCTCTGTCACCTCCTAGCATTGAGGAAAAAGCATCTGCTGAAACTACATCAGTACTGTTTATGTATTACAATTTCTGCTGTATCACAAATATGATCAAATGGTGCCTATAATATGCTAACCCTGAGTGGGATGTGTGCAGGCCCAGGCTGCAGAGCCACAGCTTCCGTAGGCCAAAGCTTCAGCCAGCACCAAGGACGAAGCCCACACCAGCTGAGAGAGGTCTGTCTGGGGATCAGGGATGCAGCAAAACCAATGGGGGCTGAGCTCACAGTTTGGGAGGCAGCTGCAGCCTGGATGTAAGGGGCTATAGGCATGGGGAAATAAGCAGGAAATCTTCTTAGCTGATATAGGTCACCGTAAGTTGCATTCCCTGCAAACAGGGAAGCGTGCTGTAGGAATTGTGCTTTGAGCCCGAACATTTTCACCAGCTAATGAAAGGCATTTTGTAATTACGTCAAGCAGGAGGGAAACATCTCTATAGTTACTTAGTAACTAAGATACTTTGTCAACATAAAAGTGACAGGGATCTTATTGCCTAGTTAGCTACTAGGGAAAATTGAACTATTTACAGCAGAGGCATTCAACGTGCTATTTGCTAATGTTGCATTTCAGTGGTACAGCCATGGAAATGAAGGCTCATTAATAACCTGGAGTTTGTAATGCTCGAATCGTGGTGGAGTCCCTTGGAAAAAAAAATAATGCTTGCTGGGAATGGGTTTTACATCTGCAATGTGTGCTTTATGAGATGGAGAATTAAACCAGCTCTGTGAATCAGAGGGTATGGATACGGTGAAGCTACTGATCTTGAACTCCAATTTATTTTTAAAGACACGCACAGCTCTGTAGAAAACCGATACCAGTAGGTGAACTTGAGGGCCCCTAACTTTATTCAAGTCAGGGTAAAAAAAAGTCCCCTGATTAATAGGGCAGAAAGAAGACAATTCATACGGCAACCTTCTGCCAGTGATCGGTGAAGATGCAGCCTCCTAAGAGCCAGGGACTTGAGAGCTGGAAAAAATGCAGGTGGGGATGCTTTTCAACATTGGCACGCTGCGCAAAGGTTGGCATGTTTTAATGCTCCCTTTTTGCCTTTTGATTTATTGTGGGTACCTTTCAGTCTCCCATCTCTGTTTATAACACAAAATGAACACACAAGATCAGCTGTGACAAGCAGCATGAGGAAAGCACACATTAAAGACGCGAACCTTTAGAGCAGGAAATAAACCACGGTATTCAATATTCCATTGTTGCATTTAATTAGGATAATTGATTGCTGCTCTTTTGCAAGTGGCATGAAGTGTGAGCAGCCGTGAGCCACAGGGAAGCAGATGGATGGGGCTGGAGGAAGCAGCGGACAGGAGCTATGGGCGCTGCATTTGGCTGTGTGTCCCTATGGGGTCCCACTGCTCCAGGCAGCCTTCACTACTTTTTTCATTAGCACTACTTTTAATCAGCAGTGAGCGCTCAGCAGGAAAACTGTGTGGAAAAGGAGGAAAAGAGGAAACTGCAGGAAAGCCAATGAGTAGGTCCCCTGCTGCGCTGAAGCAACTCTCTTGTTCTTTCCAAAGTAGGCTGCATAAATATTGATCTTGTTGGGATGTGTCCTACATTCATTTGCACAGACGTTACAAATGTGCTTAAGAATGAGAAATCAATCTTGTGGTAAACATGGACAGCCAAGGATGCGCATAGGTGATGTGAATTACAGCACTCAGCCTTGCCACTTGTATGCTGGGTTGGAAAAGGTGCTCTTCGGTAACAGAAGAGAACAAGATTTTTTTGCCTCCTGGACTATTTTAAGGTATTTTCACAAATCCACAGACCCTTTAATATGCCTTCAACTCCCACTTCAGATCTTGTAATAATCCTTAAGTTAACTAGTTTTCTGCTGAATTTGCTTGGGTTGCTTTTTCACAACCTACTGCCGGCAAGTCAAGGTACAATTTTAGACATTTGTATCACTTCATCACTCCCTCTCCCATTAACCTTTCATATGGTTTAGCACTGCAACATTGTAATTTGGAAAATCATATCATTAGGTTGCAAAAGCTGTAGGATTCTTGCAGTAGGCAGCCACGGGGTGGCTTCTGAGTCAGTGGATGATTAATAATTAATAATAATTGTTGGATAATCTATTTAGACAGTCACAGTGTGGGGAATTTATTATTGTTTTCTCTGGAGAATACTGCCACTGAAGTAATAAAACTTTAATGTGTCCCCTCTCCTTGTCGTTCTACTGAATTTCTGGTAAGGAATAGAGGAAAGCTGCCACATCTTGCTATAGATCACAATGCGGTACAGGGGCAGCTCTTGCTTTCTTACCAATCAACATGTGCGTGTGCTCATAAAGCAGGGGACAGGAGAGAGATGTATTCTATGTTTAGGCAGATTTCAAAAGAAAATGATTCTCTTGAAGCATTTGCTTTACCGTGCTCGCTTAGCATTTGGCTGATTCCTGTATTATTTTTCTGGCTCATCATTCCCAGTTATTTTCAACTTCATTTACACTGTATTACCTGTGCTCCTCAGAAAGTGTTTAAAATGTTTATGTTATACATATTACAAATGCCCAGTTCTCTTTCACAAAGCAAGGCAGGAAAGAAAGGTGACCACGGTATGCTTATAGAGTCGGCAAAGGCAGGAAGTCAAAATGAAAGAAGTGATCCCCATTTCTTAAAACTGCCCACCACTCCAACACAGCTCATCACAGTCGACCTCAGAATGGAATAACTGCTGTGCTGCATTTCCCAGCTGTGACTCAGGAGCTGTGGGATGTGTCACGTTGTTTCCCGACACGCAGAGATGCTCACTTTTCCCGTGAGGATGCTGAACGTAGACTTTTCCTGCCTTGCAGAAGTGTAGTTTATCTGAACGCTGACTTATTCTTTGTGACTAATGAGCCCACATCAAAGCATTGGATAGTCTAGAATGGGCAGGTGTATTATACTCCACGTTAAGAAACTTGTTTTGTTCAGCTGTATGTCAGACGTGATTTGTAGCTGGGATGTGGAGTCAATCCCAAAAGATAAATTTGCTTACCAAAGGTAGCTGTCAAGCTCTACCGTGCTGAAGCTCCAGCTACAGAAGGCAGTGTCTTCCAACGAAAGGGTTTCAGCCAAATAAATGGAGCTTAGAGAAAATGCAATGTTACAGCTGAAGTGCCGGGATAATTGAGCCTGTAACATCTGCTGAAATGTAGTGACACCAAAAAAACCCACTTCTGCCCATGTTTCTATTCCCTGTTAAAGCAGTGCTTGAATGTGTGATGTGACCCAGCACATCAGGAAATGTGGGAACAGACTTGTCTTGCCATCACAAGTACCCTTCCCTTGCCAAGGAAGGAGCTTTCCGAGCACAGCTGTATTAAGGACGTTGCTTGGGTTGCTCTCCAGCAGCTTTTATGAGAAGGGAAAAGGGATCATGTGCTTAATTAGCCTCTTTAGTAAGAGGTGTTCGTGTGTACATTTTGCAGCTGGAACAAAAGGACAGGGTGAGGGTGAAAACATATGAAATCATTCCTGGATGGCAAATAGGAAAGAAAAAAAAAAAAGCAAAAATCTTTTGTCTGTTATAAGGACTAATTTCCCCATGAAAATGCTCAAGAATAAGATTTTCCTCTTCTTGCAAATTACTGTTGAGTTTGATTAAAAGAACCATTGATTTGCTTATTCTTCTCTGCATGATTTTCCCTGGCTTGGAGCTGTGGGAAGCCAGGCTCAGCCTCTGTCCAGCAAATGCCCTCATAAACATACGCTGCTGGTTTCGCTTTCACAGTATAAACACAAGGGAACATTCAATTACATTGAAAAGGGAAGCTTTTAAAACTGATAAAAAGGAAATAAATTTTTGCGTGGCATGCAATTACTCTGTGGAATCCATTCCTCTTGAGTGTCATCACAACCAAAAGCTTAGCAGGATTTGAAAGAGGGCTGGAGGGCTAGTAATACATACATAAAAATAAACAGGGGCTCTGGAAAGGATTTACACTCTTGGGCTTCTGGGGAGCAGCCAGCCTCCCATTGCGGCAGTTTTGGGAAAGGTTTCTAGAGATGCTTGTCCCACACTGCCTGCCACCGTGCTGCTTGCATGTCCCCTTGGCGTGCTGCAGTGACAGCCTCCTTCAGCAGGACACTGTTGGCAAGACCAGTGGTTTCATCCTCTGCAGTCACCTTTATGCTCCTGAGAGGACGTAGATTGGAAATGTCACAAATGATTTCCATTCCTCAGCTCCTGAAAGAAAGGAGCGGTTGGTTGGTTACGTGTTTGACAATCTGTCGTTACGTGCATTCAGCAGCCATCTCACTGACAACGAGTTTTTTATCCTGTGAGTCAGGCTGCTAATTTCAGCCTGCAAAGCCCTGCCTGACTTGTGCCTCGTGTACAACGAGGCCCTGGGCGATGTGATCTCACTTTGGTGCTCACAGAATGATGACCTCCAGGGTCTCTTCAGTCCAACCTCTTCAATGATTCTGCTTGAGGCGTGACAGCAAGGAGATGTTACAACAAAGAAAAGCATCCATCTCAGCACGTTCTGGCTCACCTGTTACTCCCTGGGAGAGGCACACCTCTCCTCTGCAGTGAGTGCGTTTGCTCCAAGCTTCATGTGGAGGCTTTCCAAACAACGTGGCTTCCTTCATCTCCAGCAAAATCATGACTGTGTGGCCTCCATTACTCCACAGCCACACTGGCTCAGCATGATCACTTCCTTCAAAAATTGTTCCGTGGCACTAAGGATGGAGGGAGAGTCAGCACAGCCTCTGAGCCACTACTTTCTGCATGTGCTGGAGAATGGAGAACTGCAGCCAGCAAGAGGCAGTGCATGCAATGATGCAATAGCTTTCTTCTCAGGGTATGTGATGGAGAGGAGCCACGCCTGATGGCATCGAGGCACCAGAGCTCTGGCTAAAGCAAGCAAAGACAAATCCTCAGATTCTAGCAATTAGATAATGCTTTTTGAAAGCAATGCCATAGCTTGGAGGAAGGACGTGGTAAATGGTTTCCTGCCCATCACCCGAGAATCTGCTGGAGGTTCTTGTAACATGGAGAAAGTATAAAAGGGCAGCCAAGAACGGCATGACACAAAATATTCAGCTATCAGACAGAAATCCTGGCAGGCCAGCTGTGCTAGATCATTGTGGATGGGAGTGCTGCCAGCAGCCCGTCTGCAGATGATGGGGAGAAACGCTCCATGGTGAGGTCTTCTCTGCTGCAACACAAGTCAGCTGCACAGGAAAAACTTCAAACACTTTTAAAACAAAACAAAACACAATGCTGATTGCTTACTGCCCCAGCTGCCAAGCTGGTTCCCTCTCTCCACCTTTTCATCTCTGCAAGAAAAGCCTTCACCATTTGCTCTGGGCAACCACCTTTGTCAGAAATTCATGCTTGAAAGGTTACGTTTGCACAGCATGAATTCCAGGCCTGCTGTTGATGCAGGATGGAGCTGCCTGGTGTGCCAAAGAAATGCACCAGGCAGGCGGAAGCTGAAGCGATCCTGTTATGAAGGTGGCTTACCCCTGTCTGTTGGCAGATGTAGAGTTCCTAAAAATCTAGCTGACTTTCAAAGTGCCACAGACCTCAGCTGTACAAAGGTTTTCACAAGTTCATCACCTGTCAGCACAAGAGGCCAAGGAAAATTTTATCCACAAAATGCATCTCGATCTGTGCAATAGGTAGGTCATGGGTGCTTGGTACTATGGAGAGCATGGACCGGTGATGGTAGCTGGGCATTATGCACCTGGAAAAGATGAGACTATTCTGCTGCAGCAAGGAGAATTTGTGCTCCTTTGGGGAACCTGGTTATCTTCACTCCTGCCAGAGCTGGTGAAGTCGCACAGAGTATTCAGCTCTGTTTGTGGCATTCACAGAACAACACAGGGCACCTTTGGGAAGCTGAAAGCAGAACAGTGCTGCTGAAACAGTTTGGATGTCAAATAAATACCTGTGACCACGATTTGCTGTGCCCTGGCCAACATCTGCAAAGCTTACGGTGCAGAATGGTTCTTTACCTCACTGAAATCTGCATGCTGAAATGGTAGCTGCTCCCCACCTGCACCACGTCAGCATCCGCAAAGACTTACAGAGGGCGTGAGGCAGGGCCTCACCACAACCTGGTCATTGCCTGGGGAGCCCTATCACCTCTAGGCCGCAGGTTGGCCTCACTGTTCGGAATATTTTGTTTAGGCTCATTCTTCAATACTGGGTTCATTCATGTTGTCCTACTGTATTGCTAAAAGCATTCTTAATTTCATGCACGGCCCTACAACTACACTTCCACTGCTGAGATGGCTGCTTTAGTACTACCTTCTAGGTTGATCCTGACAATATGGCTTTATTTTATTAAGCTCCTTGGAGGATTTCTATGTTCACTTTTAACAAGACACACTTTTCAAGTTCAAGAAATAAAGTTAAACAATTCCCTCAAAGTGCATAATGTTCATCTGTGCTCATACTTCTTGTAAATTACTGTAGCTGCAGCCATTGATAGCACTGACTCTGCACTGATATAAATTATCAGTAACATATTTTGAAACTTTATCTTCCACGGCGCTGTTCTCACATCATATTCATTCACAAGTAAACAACGCATTTATGAGATAGACTCTTACTGCCTTGAAGCAATACCTGACATTCTTAAGGCATAATTCCTGTTAATGAAGAGCATTTCCATCTCCCGGTTGCCAGGGCAGCCTCAGAGTCACAGGGCAGCATAGCATACAGAAGTGACGTATATAAGGGAGAAGCAGAATGCACTTTCTCAGCCAGCCTTGTTGCCAAATGTGTGGTATGGAAGAAAAATACTCTCAGCTTTAGTGAAAGGCCTTCATGTACGGCCCTTCAACAGGCAGTGCCATCACTTGGCTGAGATGCTTCCAAGTGAATCAGAGGGAGATGACAAACCTCACGAAAAACTGATACTAAAAATGTTTGGATCTCCTGGGTCATTTCAAAATATGCCAGCCGTGCTGGTTAGGGTTATATAGTATGTAAAAACATTGCATCCAAGTCTCTGCGTTGATTACAGCTTAATGAATCCACCATAATCCATCTCTATCAGTAGTGATGAATACTGTACCTCCAGGAGTTGTAAGGCTCTGAAACAAAATGGGTTTAAGAAGCCATACGAGCCTGAAAGATAAAATGAAATAATTACATGGAAGGATTACTACAGTTCTGGAAGAGAATCTTTCAGTGCATTAGCATCTAACTGAAAATGAAGCTCTCTTCCTTTTAAAAAAACAGAAAAATACGTAGCAGAGGATGGAAGAGCCAAAGATGCAGTAAGAGGATTAGTGTATAGAGGTTGCTGAATCCACAGGGAATTAGAAGGTCTAGCTTTGCAATTCATATCAACACAAATGAAAAACAAAATCTGTAAAACAATGTTATAATTTTAATACAGGATTTGACACTGGAACAGTTAACACCACCCTGTAATCAATCCTGGCAACAAAGACGGTGTTTCTTCTTGAATTTGTTTCCTTGATGTGTGGTTTTCAGCAATGGGGAAGCAGGTATTTATTTCTGTAAATTGTTTTCTTCACACACGATGAAGACAAGAAGTTTGTGCTGGAGAAGAAATTCCACAGTTTGGTAATGATACTGCACTTCCAAACTGTTTAACTGCAATGCTGGCATACTGCAACCTGCATGCATCGCAACAGAAAGCATTTGTGCAACCAAAGGATCTCTGCACCACACTGCTGGTGACTGCATAGGAAATCCGTACCGTGTTGAGTGCAGTACAGCTCAGCTCTGCCAGAAGCTGAAATCTCAGTGGCAAGCAGTGGAACTGCAAGAGTAAAGACCTTCCTCCTTGAGGATGGGAGAGCCACATACAGCTGGCAGATAATGCTGTGTGCCAACTGACCGTCGCAACAAGAGTGCTGCACCCAGCTCCAGCCCAGGAGAAGCAGAGGCAAGATGTTCCTTCAGCCAGAAGGGTGCTTCATAGCCTCATGTCCTGCTTGAAGGATGTGGGGACCTGAACTCTGCCCATTTCCTTCTAGAGAGCTTAACGTGCAGCCAGGAAGGCACTCGGCTCTTTTCTCCTCTCCCTGTAACATGGAAATAACTATATTTTTGCATAGTGCTTTGAGGTGCAGAGCTGAATAACATTTAGTGGTGTTGATATAACTTGAGTGGAAGTGGTTTTGGAATTAGAAACACAGATCAAGCCTTGCTGAAAATTATTTAGGGGGATGTAAGTACAAACAAGCCTCCAGGCAGTGCAACTCTGCCATTCCTGAATATATAAACACAAGTGCAACCTGTTAGATAATTTAAAGGCTAACTCTACTTTCAGTGCTAGTGGTGGCAATGGTGATGAGGAGACAGTTGGACTAGATGATCTTATAGGTCGTTTCCAACCCTGTGTTTCTATGATTCTATTTCAGGCATCAATTAATGGAAACTTCTCTATTCAAGAATGCTTCTTAATCGTATGCTCAATCTAAAAGCACATTTATAATTAAGAGTTTTGTTGAATAAGCACCATCTTAAATGCCTTACTACGCTGAAGACCTTACACTGCTGGATGAGCACAAGCAGCCCAGAGCATACACGGTGTTGTGTTTAAGCTCACAGCTGGAACAGCAGTGTAAATTTTCTGTTCCTTGTTATGTGCATACCCAATTTGCTCCCACAGTTGTGACAGCCCCACCGATTGATGAGGCATACAGGTGCGTACCTAGCATTTTAAAGACTGGAAATCATCACTACTGATAAAATTAGGTATTATTGTCAGAAGAGCTTCTGTATGAAGACATTCAATTTCCCTTTACAAAGGAGGATATTATTAAATTGTTCAATTCGAAATGGTCCCTTTGCTCATCTTTCTCTTGCTCTTTGAATTATTTTTACAGTGGCAAATGTTTTGTCTTTTCCTTAAGTATTTTGACATTGAAATCGGTCTCTTGCTTTCACGAGTGAAGGGAAAATCTCCCAGACTAGAAAAACAGGCTACTGAAGAGAGCTGAATAAGCCCCCTAGCATTTTACAGTGTTAAAGAACATGAAATTCCTTCTTTCTAAACTCCCTCCCCACCTTCACGCGCTAACTGGAATCACTTAGGTGATTTATACCTTCTTAAATCACAGATGAACGTTCAACAGCGCCATTGATGATGACTTATAGCAGAGGAAAAATGAATAGAATTTTTCCCACATTAGCATTTCTCGGTGCTCATCAGCTTTTCATCCAGAACTGACTCGTCAGCCAAGTTTTCTGCAGTTGAGGAGTAGGGATTCAGTAATTCCTGTTTAATGAAGGCATGTTTTCTTGAAAGGCTTTATTTAAAAACAATAACAACAAAAACAACAACAACAAAAAAAAAAACAACAAAAAAAAGCAAATTGGGTGATTGTTGCATATTTGATGTAATTCAACAATTCTCTTTGAGTATAGTTTATGGCAAAACTGATTCTATGAAGGCTGTATGTTGTCTGCCTCTGATAACTGGGTATATTACACAGAGGTCATTGTGGGCTTTCAAGGCCTTCTGGTGTTTCTTGACGTTGTCTGCGGGTATGTACAATTTGTCCACTTGATATAAAGACTTTTGGTATGTTATCAGAGTAATCTGTGATAGATTACTTTTTATTCCCTTATTTTCTATAGAACTCCTATAATCAGAAAACTCTTCATCAAGGTTGCCAGACTCCAGCTGGAAAACTGCAGATTGCAAACCATCCTGTTTCATTTTACCGTTCTTCAAAATAGCCATCATCAATCAAACTTTAGAAAAGGAAGATGTGCGTTTCACCCTTCCACTTCCTTCTGACAAAAATCAATTTCATAAGCTCCATTCTCCACATCTCATAGCAGTAGTCAATCTGCAGCAAAATTCACAATTCCTAGAGGTTTAAAAAGCATTGATCAGTTACTGGGAAATGGAGAATTGCACAGTCTTCTCATACGCCTAAGAGTTCAATTTGAACACGCATATAATTACAAGATTTCAAACGCGCTTCTCTGCATAAAGCAAAAACAACCTGGCTCTGTACCACTTTGCATTTGGAGATGCTGGCATGTTAGAGAAATCACTGCCTGACTATTCAGGAAACTGGGGAGAGATACAGTGTACTGCCTTCTCTCCCCATGGCACAACACAGGAAGCCTCACTGCAGCCTCCTGCTCCTGAGCAAATCTCACAGTGCAGAGACAAATCCAGCAGTTTTCCATCCTCTGGGCTGCTACCATTTGGTTGTTTGATTGCCTAAAGCCCTTCATTAGCAAGGCCGGGGGAAGCAGTAAGTCAGCCGAGCAGCAGGAGAAGCGAGGTCAGCTCAGCCCCTTGCTGGCTCACAGCATTGTGCGGAGCTCCTCCAGCTCACTCCACCACGTGCCTGACCCGAGGCTACTGAAATGACCTTCACTCTGTGTTATCATAGAATCACAGAATCGTTTGATTTGGAAGGGACCTTTAAAGGTCACCGAGTCCAACTCTGCTGCACTGAACAGGGACGCACACAGCTAAATCAGGTTGCTCAAAGCCCCGTCCAGCCTAACCTTGAATGTCTCCAGGGACGGGGTGCCCACCACCAGTGTTCTTGCACTGTGTAGTTTATCTTGCCATGGGAGGCAAAAGGAGCTTGTTTAGTCTAGGAAAGAGAATGCAAAGACTGGTCAGGGATACAAAAGCTGCCTGTAAGTACATTGTGGGGAGACACTGAGAAGAAAAAAAAAAAAAGCTATTGGAGTCAAAGGGCAATGGGAACACATGGGCACAGACCACCCATGTGTAAATTCAGATCGAAAAGTGGAAGAAAGCTCCTGATTACCAGAGCAGTAACGTGGGCAGACCCACCTGGTCCGCTTTGGGAGGACATTCAGTTAGGTATGGACACCTGGGATCCTAGGGGACAAGGGCACACCTGATGTCCCAGGAAACCTCCCTTCCAGTTCTGCATTCCTAAGACGTATTTGAAGATCTCTGTGTTTTAGATCTTTTTTGTGAGCGTGAACAGTCAGATAATTGAACAATTAGAGAAAAGCACAGCTTCTTTCTCTCTCTGCTTCACTCCAAGGACTGCCTTCAAGGATAACAGACTGTTTTCCACAAACTGCCTTTTATTTCAAGTGGTACTGCTAACAAGAACATCTCCAGAGCCTGCTGTCTTCTTCTGCTGAGTGTGTTGGTGTGTGCCTTTGCACATGAAGTGTTTTTCTCGTGCTCTTAAATTAGGAGACCTGGGATAACCTTTGTGAAACAGGTGGCATGAGGGTGCTCTGAATCTGTAGGAATCATTACAATTGAATGTGGGGAGCACACAGAATCGGGCTGTAGTACACTGAGTGCTGCACCACAACCCCCACTTTACTGCGGAGCACAGCACTTCTGATGAGTCTCTGGCATCATGTTTTGCTGCCATTTTACAAACTGTATTAAAAAGGAATGACCTCAGGCAACTACGGCCCCTTCCGACCCACGTTACTCAGCTAAAATGTCCCCAGGAGCATAAGCGAATTCTCTGAATAAATACTGCAGATAAATAGGCTTGTGCCTTTGTGCTAATTGCATTTATCTGATTGTGATTTATCCTTTCAGCTATTCGTTTAAATTAACTTTATTTGCAGGTGGGAGGAGGGAGTATTGCCGTCTAGATACTGATTCTTCAGCAGTTTGTCAGGAAATATTTTCAGCCATTCTAGCCCTATACAAAGACAGGATAACGATGCTTTCCCAGTGGCCCTTCACACCAAGCGGCTCCATCGGCGCTCGTGCAAGTCCTTAACACCTGCAGAACGCCGAATCTGACAAGATGACCTCAGGTGGGACGGCCCCAGCCTCGCGACCGCGGTGGGTGAAATGGGGGCGTGTGATCAATGAGGCCGCTCCACCACGGGCACACGCTACCGAGCGGCTGCCGAACAGCGCTCGCCTGCGGGACGGAGGAAAAGAGCGGGAGACGACAATCCGAGGAGCGCGCGCAGCCGGGAGCTGTAGTCGCCGGGGGTGGGGGCTACATTTCCCAGCAGCCACCGCTCTCCTCCGCCCGGCGTCACGCTGTGTTTATGGGCGAGGCTCCGCCTCGCCGCGCGAGCGGTGTCGTCACGGCGGGCCACCTCCCCCGAGCGGCGGGGCCGCTTAATATTCATGAGGCGCGGGCGGGCGCGGCGCCGGGCTCGCTGGCTGCCCGCCTCCCTCATGGCGCTGGCGACGAGCGGAGAGCGGGGCTGAGGCGGGCGCGCGGCGCGGGGGCAGCGGCAGAACGCTGCACCCTGAGCCCCCCTCCCCCTCCCGGGGCGCGGTGCCTCGCCCCGCTCGGGCCCCCCTCCCCTCTCCGCGCCGGCCGAGCGGCGCTCCCGGCAGGAGGGCGGCGGCGGCAGCGGCCCCGGCGGCGATGGAGCCCGCGCAGCAGCAACAGCCGCAGAGAGCGAGAGAAGCGGCCGAACGCTCTCCGGGCGGGAAGGGTCCGGCGACGGAGAGCGGCGCGG